ACAGTACAACAAGACAAACTGTACAGCTTGGAAATTGAAGGCACCTCCCACCCTTTTCACTTGAGTGTGGTTATTTTTAATTGTCTCCAGACCAGGACATTTTCAGCATCCTTCAGTAAGGCCTCTTGGTCCCCTGAGGGATAGACAATGCACTTAAAGAGTGCCATTACTTCTTAGGGAAATCATCCATTCATTCAATGGCTGTGTGGAGTACCTATTAAGTGGCAGGTACTAGAGAAGCAGCTGTGAGTGAGACAGGTGAGGCTCTCATGCCTGGCTGCCTGGCTCTGACTAGCTGTGTTTTCCCTGATCTCCTCTGGGGGCAGGCCCCTGAGCAGCTCTCTTGCTCTGGAATATTCACTCAGTAGCTTCTCCTAGCAAGGTTTGCAGCTGTCCCTTGGGACTTCTCATATCCACAGGGAAGGGCTGTGCCCATAACCCGGAATGCAGAGCAGGGATGGGAATGTGCTGTGGGCTCTTTCCTGCTGTTGACACTTTTTCAGGAGGCTCCAGCCACCTGATCAGATCCTTCTCTCCAGTTTTGAAAGGCCCTATTTCAGGTCCCCTCTGGCTGCCACCTGTGCACAGCTGAGGGTCTGTCTTATTGGTGGACCTGGTACCCTGGCAGAGCTGGCAGGTGTCCTGAGGGCAGGAATTGGGTGGCTCCTTTGGTTTTCCCTGATGCCTGGCCAGGCTGGGTATCCACTGTGTGCTCTCAGTGCATGAACAGGTGCCCACAGCAAAGAAAGGAGGATTGTGGAAGGGCAGAGAGTGGGGCAGTGAGGCCAGCAGTCTGGGTAGGAAGGGCAGGGGATTGGGGTTTTTACCAGGGGCATCTCTGTGTGGGACCCTCTCCTTCACAGGGTGGGTAAGGAGGAGGGACTAGGGCTTGGGTGGTGGCAGAAGACCCAGTAGGGAACCCACAGAGCCCAGGAGCTGGGCATGGCCTTGCCAAGTGGGTACCCCACAGGAGAACTCTAAGTGTTGACATGTGTGCCAAGAAAGGGGGAAGGCCTCACAGAGGGTGCAATGTGGATGTCCCTTGTGCCAAAGCAGGCCCAAATGTATTTATCAGCTTTTTTCCTTTTATTATCACATGACCCTTCATTAAACATGAAAGTCACGTCTCCTTTAACACCATGTAACAATTCAAAATAAACGTTTGGACTCCACAAACAAATTAAAANTTTTTCTGCTCCTTCTTATCCCCAGCAGGCTGGGAAGAGGCTTGTTAGCACATATTTCTATGGTGCCTCTTCCCGGAGGGGGCCTGGCTTGAGCACGCTTTTGGAAACGTGACATTTCCATAGAGGCCTCAGGATTACTCAGCATTCACACGTTGCTTCATGCTCCATGGGTATGTGGCTTTCCCTCCCCAAATGTGACCTGTCTGGGCCACAACTTCCCCATCTGGGCTGGAGCAGGATGATGTTTCGGGCCTCTTTCAGCTCTGACACCCAGGGAGCCACTACTCTCCAGGCTTCCTCTGGCTACAGATGAGGCATCGAGCCGGAGACGGCAGAGTCCCCTTTGGTTTGAGAAACAGTAACTGACCAGAGGGAGCTTCCTGAGGATTCCTGCTCGAGCTGGACTTGTGTGTGGTCAGAGCCCTCCCTCTGTCCCTTCCTAGCCATGGGGTTGGGAGCAAATTACCTTATGTTTCTGAACCCATTTTTCCCCTCACCTGTAAAATGGAGACATTAATAGTACTTACCACATAGATCTGACGGAGGGAACGCAACCCACGTTGACTGGAAGGCAGGATCCCACAGGAAGTGAGCACAGCTGGCCCTCTTTACCACCCATCAGGAGGCTCACTCACACCCAGTGTGTGAAAACTGTCAGTTAGTTTTAACTGATGCTAGTCCAATGGCAGGTTATGAAATGGCTAGTCTGTTTCAAACACTGGGCTGCAGGGACCAGGAGACCTGGACCTGCTCTGAAGGAGATTGGCTGGAGAAGGGGACAGATCCAGAAACCCACCCAGCCCCGGTCTTCCCTGTGCTGTCTTAGCTCCACCTGTCAGAGCCATTGAACAGTGCCCAAGGGGAGCGGGCAGGGCACATGGCTATGCAGACAGGTGGAACAGCTGGAGACTGGGAGGAGGAGGGGAGGCAGGAGCCAGACCTGCAGTGAGGGCCGTGAGGCTGTGCTGTGAGTGTGTGCACATGCTCACTCACACTCATCACACATGCTCACACAT